CTTAGCATAAAGGCCTTAAGGATCATGTATATTGTAGCCTATGGCAGATACTCCTTTGTTTTAAAGGCTGAATGTATTCTATTGAATACACACAACATTCTTATTATCTTTTCACCTGTCAGTGGATAGGTTGGTTACACCTCTTGGCTATACTGAATAATACTTTAAGGGACATGAGAGTGGAAATATCTGCAAGATCCTTTCTCAGTTCTGGGTAAATGCTCAGAAGTACTCCTGGATCATATGCAATTTCAGTTTGTAAGTGTTTGAGGCATTGCCATATCATTCCTATAGTGATTAAACACTTTCTTTTCCCACCAACAATGCACAAAATTTCCAACTTCTCCACCTCCTCCCCAGTGCTTGTTTTTTTTGGTGGTGGTTATTCTACAGGTGTGAGGCTGTATCTTCTAATGATTCTTACTCTTTGTGTTAAATGTAGCATAATCTTACCAGTCAAGTGCTTTCAACCCGCCCCCCCAGGGGGGGGATATTCAGATTGGCAAAGGATGACCATTTATGGATGTAGTTTTCTTCAAAGGTAAAATGGAACCCCCCAAAGTTAAGTTAAAAACAGTGTGTTAGATGTGTAAGCACTACTATGTGCATCAGAGGTAGAGCTTGGCTCTAAAAATACCAGCATGGCCCCTGTGGCGCCTGTACTCTGTGTAACTGTGAGGTCAGGCTGGAAGCAAAAGATACAGCCCAGTCCGGGAAGGGGAGGAGCAGAGGAGTGAGCACAGGACCCATGTGCTGGAGCACCTCTGGCTTATAGGTAAGAGACCAAGGGCAGGACATCAGGCAAGCATAGAGAAAACCACAGGGCCGAGGTCTGATGCCCAGGTCCCACAGAATGGCCTGTGTTGGGGAGGAAAGGGAAATGACATAGGGGTCCACATCTGCCTCGCCAGCCCCTTTGATTGGATCCTTGCAGGTGCTACTTCTCTTAGTCATATCTCCCTGCAGTGAGCACATTGTTAGGAACCGAGTGAAGCCCCATACATGTTTCTCCTGCATCCCAAACCTCAGTCAGCATGGTTCAGAGCTCCAACCTCCACCAGCTAGGACTGCTCTGGACCGCTGCCCACCATCCCAGGCTAAGTCTCACCCCTCTCCTCCCTAGTTGCTGCCCTTGCCCTCTGCTCCTCCAGCTCCCAGTGGGGTCCTGAGTGACCTCACAGCTGCAGCCCCTACCTGCTTCTGCTAATCTGATTGTATCTGCTCCATCCCTTACCCCCCTCATCCTGTAACCTGCATACTGGCTGTCTCCATCTTCCATCCTTCCTGCCCAGATCCGCAGCTTGGCCTGTTCCTCCCAGAGGGAGCCCCTTATCTTTGCATGACACCCTGGTGCATTCAAGCTGTCCCAGTGCATCATCATCACCCTCCTGGCTGCCTCTGTCCCCAGGAGCCTTGGCGTCCAGCTCTTGATGTCTTTCTGCTGCCCTTGGGCTCTGGTAGTCATGTACATCCTTCCTATTTTGATAATATTAAAAGCTTCTACGATTGGAAAAAGTGACCGAACCTCCTTACTGCAGCTCCATGGGGTTCATGGGCATCCTGTCACTATTCCCATAGTGTGGGAGGCCATCTGTATGGACCAATCACACACCAGGGTGGTGATACTTTTACAATGTCATGTGGCTTCATTAAGGGAGTTGGGTTAACAGACAAAGATGAAAAGGAGGTGATCCCCCAACCTCCATTCCTTTTGTTACACTGAACCTGGGTGCAGCCTGTACCCTAGGAGGACAGGGTGGAGATAGATGCTCCACACAAGTCAGCTTGTCACCTGCCAGGATCCTCATCTTACAGATGCAAAGAAGGAGGCTAGAGAGCATAAGCAATTGGTTCAAGACACACAGCCATTCCAGGTCCTAAGTTCAAAACCAGTTTGTTTTATACACTCAAGGAACAACAGGAGGGGGAGAAACCTCTGTTCTCTGGCTCTCTTGTTCCAGCTCTGAGAGGAAAGGTGGGTGCTGGCCAACTCCATGGAGCTGCCCCTCCACCTTAGCCCTGGCTGCCTCCCACCATGGCCCTTTTTAGACCTGTGAAAAGCTTCAAGTGCCCTGCAAGCTGTCTCATTTGCTGCCTGTAAAGAAGAGTTGGCAGGATCCTGACTGTCCCTAGCCCTCTCCTGTCTGATAATCATTCCCTGAATTAAAGATGACTTCTCCATTTTCCATTTTAAAATGCTCTACAGTCCCTGGCAACGGTTCTGTACAGAGAGGTGTCTATAAAAACTTTTGAGATCTTATATAAAAAGCCCAGATGAAAATAGGAGCTGTTTCTTTAATTCTTCCTATACGATTTTTAAGAAATGTTTTAATATTCCATTGAACTCTTTCTTTCCTTTTTTCCTCTTTCTCTCTCGCTGGTTCTGAAAAATAAGTGCAGCCATAAATATGCAGAATGTGGAAAGCTGACTTTTCCTATATCTAATAAAAACCTTGGGGAGTAATTGAAATAACTTGGCGTGGGTAGTCAGGTTCCATGCTGCATAATATCAAAAGAAAACCCATAGCGAGGAGAAGCCACGGGAAAGAGAAAGAAGGGCTGGAGAGTAAAACCAGGACATTAAATAATGAGCAGCTAGGAGGATCTTAAAAAAATCCTTTCAGAATTATATTCTCAGAAAAATAGTCAAGAGGCATCTTCAAAGAAGTAACACCAGACAAGGTGTACATTTTATGCACGTCTGAGGATTGAAGATTCAAAGGAAAGGAAGGAAATACCCTCCTCCCTGCCTCTATCCTTTAGACAAAGTCTGACAAGCCACGGGCTTCCATCAAATCCTGACACATGTGTCTTTTCATGAGCAGGAGGCCCTCCTCCCTCCTCCCACTTCCCTTTTCATCTCCACAACCTGAATTTTGAAGGAATGTTGTCAAGGCAGCAGAGCACACGAGGGGAAGTGGTTACTATCAATTGTCTGGGGGTGCCCTTCCGAGTCTCTTCCTCTGCCTTTATATTTTACAAATCATCACTGCATTCGTTATGACAATGATATGTCTGTGTCCTGGGAAAGACAGAGATGCTGGCATTGAAGTCACCCAGGGAAAGAATCTTGTTGCTCATTATCCTGACTTTACCTGAGGATGCCTTTAGCTATGAAGGTAATACTAATTCTGGACTCAATGATTTTCTATGGTTTATAAAAAGGTCACTTGTATCCAAAGGTGAAACCTTTTGGAAACAGAATAATAGGGGGAAAAAGCAATTACCCATAACCCAGCAAATATAACAATTTTAGTGTATTTTTTTTTAGCAATCTTTTTACTGAAGAACAGCTGGATTTTTTCTTTTCCTCTGTGGTTGAAGTTGAACCATGGTATCTGATTTTATGTCCTGATTGTTTATTTTGGAAATTTTTTATCTTTCTAAATAAAAAATAGTCTATGAGTCATCATTTTTAAGAGGTGCATAATGTTCCACAAAATGAACTCTTGTTCTTTTTGTGTGTGTGGTTTGCTTTGGAAAAGAGCAGTTGATAGAGTTGAGGGCTATTTATCTACCTCCTTTAAGGAAAAGGTCCAGCAAGAACCCGATCCTTGATAATTGTTACCATAAGATGGATCGTAACTGTTAGCTGTGTGTATGTGCATTTAGGAAAGATTGACTATTTTCTGCCCCTTATCTTTGCTTGGGTATCACGGACATACTATCTTCAGTGGAGTCTGAGTGCAGTTAGGAATCAGGGGAGGAGTTCCAGCTCTGTAATGGAATCCTGGGACAAGGTTTATGGCTTATGTCTCTCTTGCCTCAGCTTCAACAATGTGGGAATCCTTATAATTCCTCCTTTCTGAGAAATACATTTTAACACACTTGATAATTAGATTGGGTGCTCCCATCAATGTGTAAATTATAATTTTCCTTCGTCTCTCCTCCCTCCACACTTTCTGGAACTATGATGACCAGCAGTACTGAAGAAATAAAATAATATTTACTTGACAGTGTTTGTTGTGGAAAGGTTTAACAGAAATATATGTGAAGTGTTCTTAGTACTTGGGTACAGCTCAATAAATGGCAATTGCTATTTATTAATTAAAAATCTATGGCATTTCTGGGGATTTACCTCAGTGGCATAAGTGCCTGCCTTGCAAGCACATGGTCATGAGTTTGATCCCTGGTATCGATAGAAAAAAAAATCTATGGCATTCTTAGAACACTAGAACATTAATTCTGTGTAGAAGATTTATTTCGGGAAAGGCATTATTTGTAGGTAACATATTTAGTTAAAACTCACGCTGCTCAGAAAGTTCCTTCATATCTTTAGTTAATTGGAGAGGGCATGGGGATGGCAAACAGGTTTGGTGTCATTTGCCAAAGCTAATCGACTGCTGATGATTCTCAGACATGCTGTGGTGTGGGAATCACTGAGGTAGAATGGGTATAGCGGGCAGGGCTGCCAAGGCAGAGGCCTAATGTGTTCCCTGGGCTTGGGAAGACGGAGTGCCAACACACACTGTGTTTGCTATCCCTGCATGGTGATGTTGTACAGAACATTGCTTGGGGATTCATTAGGCATCAGCCAGGCTGCAGTTTATCAAACAGAAGTTTCATCAAAATTCTGGCCAACAGACCACCTGTAGGTTCCATGGTGGGAGGCTGAAACCCACACGGGTAAATTTTAAGACTGCAACCTCAGCAGGGACTTTGCACTACTGGGGATAGTTGGGCTTCTGCAGTAACGTTGATTTTGGCTCAGCCCTTGTTCAACTAATGCTCACTGAGGTCCCTGAATATCTTGCACCATGGCCTTTCTAGATGCTGCTGTTAGGTGACCAAACAGCACTCGGGATCTTCCTCTTGCCTGCGTCTGGTGCTGTGGGTACATTACCTAAGGTGAGAGCACTTGTACCCCAAATGGTGTTGGGAGGAAGACTGTTTGTTTCACTCTGGTCTTTGTTATCTCATTATTTTTTTAGTTAGTACTTACCAAACAGAACCAACCACTGCAGGCACTTTGGGGAAAGGGTAGGAGGAAAGCTACCTACCATTTCTTGAAATGTTCTGGTAATCCCTGTGGTTACAGCGGTTTCTTTTCCGTAAACGAAGGTAAATAGATTTTTCTTCCATTCTGAAACAAACACATTTGCATCTATTGAATGTCAAGATATTCAGTGACAAAGCCTAAAGAAGTATTTTTGGCATAATTTTGAAAACTATAGTGAAAAATAAATTCAGAAAATCATAACTCCACTGATGTGCTTTCTCTAAACTATGAGTTATTGGGAATTCTAGGCAGTCCTATGAAATGGGTTGCATCGACATGGTCAGAGGATTGTTGAAAAGATCAACCTTTTTCTTTTGTGGGAAGACCCCTGGAGTTATCTCTTTCTAATCTTTTTTTACCAAGGAATGCGATAAATTTCTTGAGCGATTGTTCATCTTTATTAACACTTGTTCAGAAGCTGACTGTTGTCTTCTTCTTTTGATTGCACACACTCTTGTCTTTTAGATCCCTTCCACCCTTCCTGTGTTGCTGCAGAGTTGTGAGCAGGACTCACGTCAGTTCAGAATGATGACCCAGTTACCAGCTTCCCTTGCAGCTAGGAGCAGCCTTGTCACTAAGTTCTGGATGATAAGATGTAATTAGAAATATCCAGTGGCATTTTCTCATGATATTTCTTAGAGAACAACTAGATACTAACTCCTTTTTTGTCTCTGTCCCCCTCCCCGCATTCCATTGGCCAAAAGAGCAATGCCACTGTCTTGGACTGTTGAGAAAAGGCCCATGTCAGGAATGCAATCTGCAGGAGCCTGGATCCCTGGGCTCTGCATGGAGTCAATCTCTTGTACCAGTCCCAGGCTACACATCTCTGAAATTTCTTTCCATGTAAGAGACATAAGCTCACGTAGTTTCTTATTTAAGCCACTCATATGTTGAGTTTTTCTTACTTCTAGATAATGGACTAGTTAATGTTGCTATTATTAATAGCCCCAGAGCTTAGAGACAAGTTCGATATGAATATCAAGCTATAATTACACATATTTTAAGCATTTTTTGGCTTCTCTTGGTCCCATATATATTTTTATTTTCTTTTGCCAAGATTTTAATTTAATTAAAATGTAATTTAATGTTGTGTTGCCTATACTTTTATAGACTCCCTAAAGTTCTTTTTGAAATAAGACCAAATGTAAACTAATGAAAAATAAACTCATGCATATTCCGTTTCTTTTCAAGTGTATCTTCTCTTCAGTATGCTAAGTTTGTATCTCAACCTCACATCTAATCGCTCTTTATTGTCACTCTCTCTCTTGCATTGGTAGGCTACCCTGTTTCCTAGAAGGTTACATGTTTTCTATATTGTACAGAGAATACTTTTACATAACTTTGATGGGTGGATGGAAAGTATCATTATCCTTTTCAATACTTGTATCTCTAAAAATACTTTAATTCTTTGATTGGATTGTTGGTGAGGTATGGGGTGGGCCCAGAATCATAGCTTACACTGAAATATAACTGTCAATGAGGGTCTCAGGACTTGATTGGGAAAACTCGAAGTGGGAGCAGAGTCTGTATCCCACTGGGTTCTCATTCTCTTATTGGAAAATTTCTTAGAAAGGACACAGCTGGGTTCAAAATCTCTGGGACAGGAGTCATGCTTATTGACACACTCTATGTTACTAAAGAAAAGTGGATGAAGTATGTCTGTGTAATAATGATGGTAATAGACTATTTTTTGATACTGGGGATTGAACCTCGGGCCTTCATACTGAGCTGTACCATAGCCCTTGTTATGTTTTTATTTCAATATAAGGTCTAACTAAATTGCCCAGTATGGGTTCAAATGTACAGTTCTCCTGCCTCAGCCTCTCAGAGTGCTGGGATTAAAGGCAAGTGCACCACAGTGGGCTGTAATAGATTTTTATATAGGGAATTGTTTTATTTAAAGGGAGGTGCCCCAAACATGATGAATTATCTTTTGCTAAGCTGCCAAAGGCTGAAGGGAATTGTCAACTAGGACCATTAGAGTTTTCCTCTTTGACTGGTGTGGCATTCACACTATTCTTGACACCTCTACTTTTGAATCTGGGCTGGTCTAAGACTTTTTTTGGACTCACAGGTAAAGTGACACCATGCCAACTCTGGCTCTTAAAAGTCCTGGCAATTTTTGACTTATGGAACCCTGAACTGTCGTATAAAGTGGTATAATTACCCTGTTATGAACACTAAAGAAAGCAACCTTGAAAACAAGATGTCCTTCAGTAGCTAAATAAATGAGCAAACCAGTGTGTCTATAGAACCAGATATTTAGTGGTAAAAGGAAACAAGCTACAACCCACGAAAACACATGGAAGAACTTTAAGTACATATTGTTAAATGGAACATGCCAACCGGAAGAGTATGTGATTCCAACTAGGGCCCAAGAATCCCCCTTAGGTTTATAAAAAAACTGAGCAGAAAATGGAAAATACAAAGAGCTTCCATACATATCCTCCTCAAATTCCCTATTATCAACATCTTGTATTAGATATTGTATATTTGTAACAGTGAAAAGCCACGCCAAGGTGTTACTAAAGTCGATGGTTTACATTACCTTCACCCTTTCTGTTGCGTGTCCTGAGTTTCCACAAAGGCGTTTGCTGTTACAGAATCTACAGGCTGGTTTTTCATTGCCTTAAAATCTACCATCCTTCCTTATTCTTCTTTCCCTTCCTCCACTCAGACTCTTGTAACCTTAAAATTGTTTCAAAAATAAAGGCTAGGGGCTGGGGATTTAGCTCAGCGGCATAAGCGCCTGCCTTGCAAGCAGGCACTCGTGAGTTCGATCCCCGGTACCGATAAAAAGGAAAAAGACAAAAAATAAATAAATAAAGGCTAATGAAAAAAGTGGAAAGATCCTACATGGAAAAGAACAAAGACCCACTGCATTTCACCTTCTAGTCACCCTTTCCGCCACCATCACTGGAGTGAGGTCATGGTAGATCCTCCAGTCCAGCCTGGCCACTGTGTGAATGCCACCGAGGAACCAAGTCATGCAGAGAGAAATAAATGGCTACTCAAGTTCTTCCTGAATTCTTTGCCTTCAGAATTGTGAGATACATTAAAAATGATTATTGTTTTAAGGCATTGAAGTTCAAAGTACTTTGTTACAAAACAGATAACCAAACAGTTGGCTGTAGAGTTCTAGTTTAAGATGATTTTTCCTCAGGAGTTTGAAGGGATAAATATTCTTTAGGTATTGGGTTATCAAATGCATGTTCTTATTTTTCCTAGTTTTTCTCTTATTTTTATCCCTTTGTTTCCTTTTTTACCCCCACTGGCCTTGAACTCAGTTTGTAGCCCAGGCCGGCCTTAATTTGCAGGAATCCTCTTGCCTCAGCCTCCTGAGTGCTGGGATTACAGCTGTGTGCCACCACACCAGGGCTTCCTTTGTTATAGATGACCATCTGGATGATTCTCCTTGAAAGAAGAGCAATTATCTCAATTTTGGCTCAGCCTAGCCCTATTTCTGTGTATTGATTTTACACAGCTGGCTAGGACATTTCCTAGCCCCTCAAATGGGTTGAAGCAATGCAGATGGGTCTAGCTGAGAAGCTGATGTGTTGTCTTTGAAGCAAGCTGACAGGTCAGTGTTGCCCCACCCACCTGTAGCTCCCAAGAAGTATGCGGAGCTGGGCTGAGAGAGCCGCAATGTTGGCTGAGATTGAGCCTCGGGAAAGAGGTTGTGCTATTCCAGGGCACAAAAATTTACGCATCAGATCTATCTGAAGTACCAACCCTAAAACATTGTGTTATGCAGATTGCTGTTCCTGCATATCCCTCTTGGCATACTGCAGAGGTGATTTCAATACTCTTACCTAGTCCAGCTCGTGGCACTCAACCGTGCTTTCTGGCCACTCTCACAGTTGCTCATCTTGGAGGCACTCCCTACTTCACAAATTAATAAAACCTGGGTTCCGCCCTGAGTCAAAGCTTTTGTTCTAGCCAGACATCGTTCTGTCTGGATTTAAGACCCCATCGGCTCCCACAGCAACAAAATGCCTTAGTGTCTGTATCCTTGCCACGTCTTGCACTGGAAGTGGTGGATTGGGATTCACTCCCTAGAATTCCAAAAACTTTTCTGTGGGATTGCAAATGTGCTCTTTTCTGGACCCTCAGGAAGTCTAGAAGGGCTTCTGATACTTTGTTTCTTTATTCTGTTTTTCTGGATGATATTCTTAACTTTGTGTTTTCAGCCCTCTATTAAAATAATTTACTAGTAAATAAAAGTATTTTATTTAGTAGTAATTTACTAGTAAATGTACTACTATATTTACTAGTACATTTACTAGTAATTAACTAGTAATTTACCAGTAAATAAAAGTAATAATCTTTTTTTATTCTCTGAATATTCCTTTAATTTTACCACACGTTCTTGTTTTATGAATGTTGTGTCTTCTTTTATTTTTGAATATATTTAGTTATTTTAGAGGGATATTAATAAAATCTCTTTTAGAAAAGTTTTTCCTTTGGTTCATCATTTCTCTCTAAGTCATTTTTTCTCTTTGTTTTCACCTGGTTCTTGTCTTGGAGGCTTCCTACGGATGTCTGATGGTCTTGGGTTTTTGGTTTATGGTTATGCATGGAATCCAGTTGCTTGGGACCTGGGCTACTCTGGGGTTCTTGCTGAGCATGGTCCTGGCTGTGGAGGAACTGGCTGGTCCCTCTTAGTTAGCATTTTTGGGATTCTCCTTTTGGAGAAAGGCCTTCCAGCCTAAGCCATGAAAGCACAAGATGAATTGCCAGCGCTCGGCCTACACAAGCATGAGCTTCGATTTATGTCTGGCATCTCCCAGTCCAAAGACTCTTGATTTTAACGTCTCCAGAGAATGAACCTCTAGTCTTCCAGGAGAAGGGGGTAGTGATGATGAGATAGTTGCTTAGCTACGCAGAGTTAAGGGATTAGAAGAACTGTTTTTTTAAAGCAGTCACTTAGCAATCCTCCTGTTGTAGATATTGGTCTTCAACTTTTTGGGGTCCTGCAGTGTCATACAAGAAGCCGGATGATCTTCCTCTCACCAGCTGGGGTGCAGCTCTCCTGAACTTCCTATCAGTCACCGTTTGCCCTTGAGCTTTGGTGTCCAAAGTTC